CTTCCCTCTCCCGCACCACACGTGTCACCTGCAACCCCCCCCCCCCCCCCTACGCATTGTCTTTTCCATCGTCGTCGTTGTCCTCCTCCAAGGGGCCCGAACCCAACCAATCCAACCTCTTCGCGTCCTCCGGCCCTGTTATGTTTGCGTCGTGCCCGAAGACGATGCTGCAGGATGCCCAGTCCGGGATGTACTTCAGGTGCTCTCCCATGGTGGCGTTCGGCTTCCCTAGCCTCTCCGTGACGACGTTTGTGGCGCGGATGACTTATCGTCGATGCTCGAAGGAGCGATGCATGGACGCGACGAGCGTGGGCTTCGCGACCAGCTTCACGAAGTAAAAAGCTTCATAGTGGCTGCGCAGATCATCTCCTGCCATGCGCATCAACCACATGCTGGCCGCCAACAAAAGCTTGAAGCAATCAGCAACCCTTGAGAGACCGTCATGTGAGGTGAACCCGCCATCGCGTTCGCACCCATTTGCACCGCGGTGCGAAATGCATGCGCGATGCATATGATGGTGGACTCCTGGTACGCCGCCATGTCGTCGTCCTCCGGCCTGTCCTCGATGTTGCGTGGACGCGATGACTCGAAGATGGCGTGGAGGCCAGCCCACCCTGAGGTGGCCTTTCGTCAGTCGCACCACGTGCCCTCATTGCCGTAACCGTGACGCCTTGTGTCACATTGCGTTGTCGACGGCTTTCCAAGGGCTCGTCATCCTCACCGCCGACGTCGACGACAACCTCCTTCGCCTTGGGGGTATCGCGGCCACGCATGTGCTGCGTCTTCGGTGGAGGCGTTAGAAATCTCCTCGGAACACTCTGATCTGCTGACCGTTGGCGACCACTCCCCCAAAGTGCAGACACGGTGTCCTCTGTTGCCTTTTCCTCCGTTGTGAAGATGTCGTCGTTGCCGCCTTCGTCAGCTGTCGCCCAAGTTTGCGCTCGTCGAGGAGGCACGCTTCCTGATGTTTCGTCCGAACGAAGCCTCTTCGCCTTGGGGACATGTCGCCGACCCCTTTCCCGCCCCTGAGTGTCCGCAGGGACGATATCCCGCTTCTTACCACGATAGTCGGCTCGTGCAGACATGCTTCGTGCTTCCCTTTCCAGGCGAGTTTGGCGGTCGGATTGGATGAGCGGGAACACAAGGTCGACCGCCGATGGGAGTTCCACTGATCTGGCAAGAAGAACGTCTCGCGTACGGATCACTCGTGGCGACGGTTGCGTTCGCAACGACGAAGAAGAAGCGCCCTTGCCGCATAGAGGAGCACGACGTCCACGTGTACGAGAGGAGGAGAACGACCACGACGAGACTGCTCCACGGCGAGAAGAAGACAAGAGAGACGACGCCGAACCTCCCAAGGGCCGAGACGGATCTGCGACGACAAGGAGAGAGTGCTCCGCCTCAGATCAGCCCAAAGTCCCCGACCGCGTTGTTTATCCACGTGTCGATAGAGCTCCGCGGGGCAAACGCGAGCAGAGTGACGACGCTAACTCTCCACGTGGTGAGAAGGCGAGAAGATCCACGACGATGATCGTCGACCACACTGAAGAAGTCCCCGACGAGGAGGTGTGAGATGTCTGCGGCGAGCACGCGATAGTGGTCCGGTGCGAGGAGGATAAAAGCTATAGGGCGCCCCGCGTGGTTGTGCTCGCCGTGCAACACGCGCGGCGGCCCTCTGTGCTGGAGACGCCACAAGCGGACGACCTTTATGCGAGATGGGGCGCAGACGCCTCGATAAGACGGAGCAGATGGACGGGCCCCAACGTCGCTTCTTCGCCTGGCGGGATCGTCGATAGAGACACGTGTGACAACAACATTCCAGACCGTGTTTGCGCACCCACCCTTCATATGTTGGCACTGCCACCCTCCCCAAGCCGCCAACATACCCTTCAATGCCCCTGGCGACCCACGTCCATATACTCTCCAGGGACCAAAAAAAAAAAAAAAAGACAACCTGCTCTCCCTGCTGACAACTTCACCCCCCCTCCCTGCCCGACGAACGACACCACCCCCGTCCACCACAATCCCCGACCCACGTAACCCCTTCAACACGTGGCTCTGTCGTTCTCGAGATCGCAAATCACACACGAGGCACTTTCCTAGAATATGAAGAACATCAAGTGCAAAAAAACAAAAGAAAGAAATTGCTAATCATATGGTGATGACACACAAAATCTAAACAACCATCAACTGGACGTCTCTAAAATCATCGTGCGCAAACGATCATGCGAGCATCTGTACAAACAAGCCCAATCATATGGCGATTACAGTACTGTTTAATGTAAAGCGACAATAAACAGTACTGTCATCATGAATCATGATCTCTCGCGGATGACTTTCACTATCTCCATAAGGGCGTTGCACAATGTCATCATTCTGTTCGCCTCATCCGCCGTAGCATAATGTTTCCTTTGCACTTCCACTTCGGTCTCCAGGATTTCGCACTGTCGTAACATCATAGAGCATCGCCGCTTGCTTGCGCTGTGTATCGTGCTCGCCATGAGCGCACCATGTTTGTCCATGACCTCAGCGATGGCCTCAAAGGTTTGTTGCCACATGTTCTTCCTCTTCCCAGAACCGTCGGCGCTCCCCGCGCTGAATTTCGAATCTTTTGTCGACCCCTGGTCCTCGTCGGCTGCCTCCCCTCCACCCTCACTGGCCATGGATTCCCCTCCAGCCCCTGCGCCTGCCGGCATCTGAGCCCCCCCCGCCGCTCCCGTGTCCGCCAAATTCTTTGGGTGGATCGTGTGATCCCCCTTCGTCATGGCCTCCATCTCGTCGTACACGGTCCCGTCCATGACGAAGTTGAAGCCCTCCGATCGCTTGGCCGATGAAGCAAGCTTGAAGTAGTCCTTCCCGCCGGAGAGGTGTTGAAACTTGTGAACCTTCTTGAATTGTTGCATCAAGTTGTCCCATTTCTTCCCGCAGTCGATGGCCTTCCTCGTGACGCTCATCTTCTGCAACCTCGCCCGCATGTCCTCCCACTTCCATTCCCTGGTCTTCGTGCGGCCGAAATTGTGCCCCATCCCGGCGATATACAAATCTTGATCCCTTTCCGCCCTCACGAGTGCGATTGTGTCTCCGATCGACTAGAAATTTCGAGCGCCCTCGCCATCGCTCCCACGAGGTGTCATCCTCCATTTTTTTATTCCGTTGATTTCTCGGAGTGGAACCCTTCTTCGCACTCGCACCGTCGTTCCTCACCTTCATCCCAAGGGGCCTAATATTAGGGAAATCGTCGGAGTTGCAATCCTCGTCACAGTCAACGTCGTCACAATCGAGGGGCTCCTGAAAAGCCGCGTCGTCGTCGTCGCCCACGTGGAGTCGTTGCACCTCTCTCGTTATTGTCTCGATTCCAGCTTGACGCAAGGCCTGCCTGCACCTGTCTCTTATACACATCTAGATGTGTATAAGAGACAGATATTAGGGAAATCGTCGGAGTTGCAATCCTCGTCACAGTCAACGTCGTCACAATCGAGGGGCTCCTGAAAAGCCGCGTCGTCGTCGTCGCCCACGTGGAGTCGTTGCACCTCTCTCGTTATTGTCTCGATTCCAGCTTGACGCAAGGCCTGCCTGCACTCTGCCCACAACTGCCTGTCGTCGCATTCTACGTGCGCACCTCCCTCAGGCAAATCCTCCTGTCGCTGCCGTCCTCGAGGAGTCCCAGATCCGCTTCGCGACGCAGGTGATAAGCACATCCATTCCGGACGTTGATCCGTGCCGACTCCTCCTCTGCCTTGCGTCGACGACACATTTCGATTCCCACCACCATCGTGAAGTGACGGAGGTAGACCGTCGTATCGCGGCCCGCATGGACCAACGTACGTCTGCTTCGTGCAATCCTCATTTGGGTGGGGATTGATGATGCGAGTATGCATTGCCGCTGCTACGCTGCTGCTCGACAAGTGGAAGCTCAGATCAACCGCTGCATTGTCGTCGTCGTCGCACATCCGCTCGTTTAACAGTGACGTGTAAGACCACGGGGTGTCCGCCTGCCTGCCACCGTGCGACTGCGACGCCGCCGAATCCTGCGTCGAGCCACTTCCCAACGGCAAAGTCGACGACCTGGCGTCTTCCCCCTTGTCATCCGACGAGGGCAGAGGAATCTCGTGAGAAGGCAGGTGAGCATACAACGTCGGGTCGTACGCTTGCTTCGCCACAGACCCCGCACTGCGTTGCTGATTGCTCGCTCCTGGTGTCGTGCCTGCCGGTCTGCCGCAGGTCACTCGATGATCCATCCTATCGCCGTTCTTGGAAGATCTCCTTTTGCGAGCCACGACAGGGACCAGGCCTACGGAACACATGTGGAAGAAGACAACGATGAGAAGCAGCACGACGAAGAGGAGTAGCAGAGGCAGCCTGTATAGCAAGTCGGCCATGTAAGGGCCGTGAAAAGGACAACAACCCCACGTCACCGGTCGACCGTCCAGCGAAGAACTCCATCGAGAGAAGAAAGATCGAGGGAAAATCTGTGCTCCGACAAACTGTCGTCATTGAACGCGGCGCCGACGCGGAAAAGCATTTGAATTTTTGACCGTTGTCGACGATCGCACGACGAAGCAGACCGCATGACACCGGTAGGCGATGCCCGATTCGACGGACGGAGGCCTCACGCGGACGATGACCGTTTCAAGCCGTTGGGGTACTGCGCAGACGGTGGAGGGCAGGGATGTCCGTGCTCCCATTTGGTGGACCACGTTTGACCACCGTCAAACCGAAACTGTGCGTCGACGCATGCCTTCGCCACTCCGAATTTCGCGCTTCCTTGTGCTCCGAGAAACCTCGGGAGGTCCCTTGGGGGTTAGGAAAAATTGGTTGTAGCCACAAGGATGCCACAAGGAAATTTCCTTGTGCTGTTTTCACATTTTTTTCGAGAGTCGTCCCCGAGGACAGGTGGAACGAGCAATTCCTTGTGGATTTCGGGTCCACTGGCACAAGGATTGTCTAACGAGGCCCATAGACTTCGATGTGGAATCTGGGCGAGGTCCCATAATCCCATTAGCAGTTGGATAGGAGTGTGGCCGATCCAGTGTGACACTGAGTAGCAGCGGCCAAACGGGTTCATTACGAATTTCTGGGCTGAGAAAACAGGAGAAAGGCCAAAAAAAGGAAAAGAGATAGAGACCTCCCACCGGAAATCATGGCAGAGTGCTTCCCAACCATCAGATCACAAATGATCTGATGGTGGTGGTTGCAACGACAGTGAACAAAGTAACCGCCACATTTTCTGGAACGAACTTGACTTCTGTCAGCACTGATCATGACACCCTCCATATACTCCGTGATTGAAGGAGGGTTCCACCCAATGGGCGTCGTTCCACACCACTAGAAAACCTTTACTTTGTAAGGGCGCCCTTATGACGAAAATGTGAACAATTTTCCCTTACCTGTTTTTTCGTTTCACAACCACTTATGAAAACCCTACACTTTGTCGCACTTACGTTTCAGGTGACCCCGTTTGCGCCGAACGCGGTCGAGAAGAGAACGCGAGTGTCTGACCCAGTGTTGCGGCAGACGAAATCGTGTCCGCCACCTTTGGGCCCGTGGGAGACCCGGGCCAGACATTTATCCAAGGAGGGGGTGGCCTTGTCGCAGGCGCGCAACATCATTCGGCCGTGAAAGTTAAAGCGCGCGAGGACCCCAAGCATTCAAATTTAAAATCTGCACCACCACTTCGCTTCGACCACATCGGATTCTGGATTCCTCACCCTCATGTTCTCCACGGTGTATGCTGCACTCACCCACCATTACGCCAGCGCACGTGGCTTCGCGTGACTGTCGTGTACCTTGTTTACGCAGCGGAGTCCAGCTATCAACAGTGGTGGGTGCGATGAGGCGGCGGCGAGGAGATTGTCAACCACCGAGAAGAGCATGGTCGCTAGTGCTGTCCTCGCGGTGTGCCGGTACATGGAAACGGTGAACGGATTGTGGCGGGCGGCTGGGAGGGGTAGGGGGAGGAGGGAGGCCGCCATAGCCCAGGCGTTGGCAGACGTCTGCACGTTGTCCGGTGTATCAGGCGCTCCTATCCTGTTGTCGAACGCAATTATTGTTGGTGTTCTGCTGAGGGACACACCTCAGTGGTGGATGAAAAGACGAACGGGCGGCACGTGGCGAGACTTGGACATTGCAGACGACGCGACGGGGGAGTATTTTTTCCATGAGAAAATACGTGAGAAACTACGTGAGAAACTACGAATGTCAAGGACCATATTCAACGACATTGTTGCGGCTTGCAGTCCTTTCATCGAACGTAGACTGACGCACTACAGAGAGCCTTTGCAGCCGGACCTCATCGTTGTCTTCGCGTTGTACAGGTGGGCCACAAGGGAGGCGTTTGAGAACGCTTCATCAAGTTTTGGCATTGGCAGGTCGTCGGGAATGAAGGCCGTCACGGGCGTCGCGAATGCAATACTGACTGCATATCCTGACAAAGTCGCCATGCCGACCGGACGTCGACTGCTGCAGGTGACCCGAGCATTCGGAGCGAAGGGGTTCCCTAATTGCTTCGGTGCAATCGACTGCACGCACGTGTATGTAGACAAGCCCGCCAATACACCGTCAGAGAACTACTACGACCGGGAACAACAGTTCTCGTTCATCGCCCAAGTCGTCATCGACCTGGACATGAGGATTCTTGATTTGTTCATGGGCTACCCGGGGAGCGTCCACGACCAGCGGGTCTTGAGAAATTCTTCTCTGTTTCGACGTGCGGAAGCCGGCGAGCTATTCGTCGTGGAACCCGTGCTGCTGCCGGGGGGGTGTCCACAACAGGGTACCTGCTTGGGGACAACATGTACTCGCCAAGAACGTGGATGGTGGTCCCCTACAGAGGGTCCAATTAGGCGAGGGACATCGGCTTGTTCGACACGTGGCAGAAGACGACGAGAAGAGTCGTGGAGAGGGTTTTTGGGCGTTTGAAGGGGATGTGGAGGTTGTTCCTTCGACATCACAAGACGAACATGGATAATCTGCTGCAGCAATTTCTGGCCGTTTGTATCATCCACAACCTTTTGCTTGAGGCGGGCATACCGTTCGACGAGGCGCTCCTACTCGAGCCGGACAAGAGCGGCAATCTCGTTCGTGTCGATCTGGGGTTGCAAGATCCACCATGGCCAGTGTCGCAATCCAGCGCAACTGATGCTGCCCTGGCTTTGCATCACAGGCTGCGTATGCGAATGCTGAATTGAATCTTTGGGTGCGCCGATGACGGTCATATCGGCTATCCGTACTTGTTTCGATTGGAGGGTTTAGTAAAAGCAAATGATTCAGTCGGCGCTAGTCAATCCTTCTCCGCTTGGAGAAGCAATCAATGCTGGTTGCCTGGTGTCGGGAAGTGCGCCAGGAGCGCTCGCGTAGAGGGGGATGGGCCGATCGTAGCTCGCAGAATCAGCCTCTTGTTTTGATGACAATGTCATGAATTAGTTTTGCAATCACTTTCTCCTTTTTAATGTTATTAAAGAATGGGTGAATTTCTTTGCAATGCTCATCTTCCCTTCTTGTTGTATTCATCTCCCACGTGGTTGTTATTGCACTTCATTCGGCCTGGTATGTTTGCAGATGTCACAATCAGTGTGTCCATTTTCTTTCTTAGTTATGCAGTGGTCCATGCGTGAACAAAAACACACGAGCGAAGTTGTTCCACATGTGCTTTAAATGTGTTTGGTAAATTTGAAAAACAAAAGCAAATTCATATCCGCACACCCGGCGACAAAGAAAGCGAAACACAAGTACCATGTTTGTAGTAAATTTGTACAAACTCGAACACACACAAAATGGTTATCAACACTTCATAGCGACACAGAACTAAACGACATTTATACGACTACGAACTGCACTCGCATGGCAACTACAAAATGGTAATGAACACCTCATACCGACGTCGAAAACAACAAGCACCCATGCCATGTGTGTGCACCGAATGTTGCAGCACAAGTAAACGGTGAGCACAAAAACCATCCCACACCTACAACTAATAGGGACA